TTTTTGTTTTATGATGAAAATTATTTTAGGATTATTATTTGAATTTTTATGAAGCCCTAGATATTTTTTTATAATTTTTAGATTTATAAAATTAAAGATATTGATTTTACAATGGTTTAAATATTTAAATCATATTCTAAAATCTTTTTATTAATTTTAAATATATAAATATATCATGGGGGCCCATTGTGCACATGGGCCCACCATATTTTTAGAAGGTGGGGCCCATGAGTGCCTCCCTTGGGTGGCACTCCCCACCCTTATTCTCTTTTCTATTTTTTGGTGATATGGCATGTGGCCATATGGTTGGAAGATATTGACTAAATATTGGCTTGATATATCTTTGAAAGATTTTGTAGAAAGATTGAGTAGATTTGTGATAATTTATGGTATGCACAATATTTTGATTCGATTTAATTTATTTAATTTCTATTTATGGGAAAATGATTTACGAAGAGGATAATGGTTCATGCACCTTCCATAATATTGATATCCCATCTATGGAATGAATGACTCAAATCTCTCACCCCACAAGTCACCCAAGATCAATGGTTCATATTCAATCTCATGAGAAGAGGCAAACCAAGAAAAACCCTAATCTTATTCAAAACCTATAAAAAGATATTGTTTCTACCAAAAAATCTCTAGACCTTATCTTTTATACCTAATTCCCATATTTCTTTCTCATATCCCACAAAGGGGCCCGCTCCACTTAGAATTTCTCTCTCTCTTAAAAAAAGCTTTTCTCTCTTATGAAAGCCAAAGGATCTCACAAAGGGGCCCGCTCCACTTAGAATTTCTCTCTTTCTCTTAAAAAAAGCTTCTCTCTTCTCTCTCATGAAAGCCAAACTCATCTTTGATCTCTCTCTCCCACATTGTGAAAAAACCTAAGGGTTTAGGTTATAGAGTTATTTTATTTCTTATCTCTCAAATATGGATTTATGGTTAGGGGTTTTAGGGTTTAGCAAAAAAATAATCCATATCTCTAAAACTAGGTTGCTAAGAGAATTCATCAAGGGTTTGATTTTGTAATTAAAGGGGTTCATGTTTTATTGGTGTGACTTGGCTTAAACTTGCTCTCCCGGTTGAGATTGAAGGTTGATCATTGATCCCCGCGCCATCAGATGGTGGTAACTTGGTGTGGGGTGTAATAAGCCCGGTTGAGGTCATCTCCGACACTCCTCCTTTTGTTTCTTGCAATCTTATCTTTTATTCTCAAGTAGTTCATAGTTGAGAACTAGGTTGCTAAGAGAATTC